CAGCAGGAACTGGCCAGACGGCCCAGGAGTAAGGGAGAAACGAGGGGTCAAAGGGATACCGGTCTCACCCACGAGTGCGGGGTCTTTGGATGCATTGCCGCCGGTGATTGGCCCTCGCAAATAGATGTTGGTCAAGTTGTGTGCCTTGGTAAGTAGATTCTACTTGATTATTATTTATTTTCGTTAGTGTGCAAGATTTTTTTTCGTTCTCATTGCGTCCACGACTTTTAACCTCTCCATATTTTCTCATAAACTTTTCGCTTATTATTTATTTTGGTTGTTGCTGTTTCTGTTGTTGTTGTTATTGTTGTTGTTGTTGTTGTTGTTGTTGTTGTTGCGAATATTCGTTTGGACGATTATTGATCTGTATTATGAGTTTTAATTTGACAATGTACCTAATGCCTCCTGTAGATGCGAGGGACATTGGAGTCGTACGTCATTTAGAAAAACTTGTGAATGTTTTTATTAATAAATTCTATATTTTCATTTACCCTGAAAATACAGATTGAATATTTTTATGCGATAATAAGCATTTAATCCGCTTCGTTCATAATTATTCAAAAGTTTATATTTCTCACTCAATCGAAAAACAGTATTTTAAGAATGCATAGTAAGTACATACCATTCATGTATATACGAAATCATAATTATTTGAACTGTCTATAATAATCGTATGTACTTTAATAGAAAATTAAACAGCTGGAATATAACGTTCACGTACAATTGATATAATTTAACAAATTTATGATTTTTCAAACGAATGAATTGTTTTTATTCAACAACAATAATCAAATTCAATTATATTTGTAAGTAAATGACATTATACAAAAAACTTTACCTATCATTATATAATTTGAAATTATTTACAAAATATTGTGATAATGAACAAATAATGCTCTATCGATAAATGAAGTTGAACACAAATGGTAAGAAATTAATAGAAACTCGTGATACTCTTGTTTTTATTATCTATTATTCACATGTATGTAAGAGTGTTGATAATAGTATCACAAGTATTTACTCTTTTCAAACATAATGCCATTGTACATTATCGTCATATATCAGTCTGTTATATTTGAGATTATACACAATCAGTATGAAAGAATAACACGCACGCACGCACGCACGCACGCACCCACGCATGCACACATAAACGCACGCACATATTTATGTACGTACGTACGTATATAATGTAATAATTATGAAGATGATATTTATGTAATAAAAAAGGTTGTTATAAAATAGATCGAGCTGCTCTTCATTAAGACTGTTTTATTGATACGATGAATAAAGTATAGTTTTTTCAACAACAACGATATAGAAAGAGTTAAAGATAAAGAAAGAAAGAAAAAAAAATAAATAAATGAATAAATAAAAACAGAGAAAAAAAAATAGAGAAAGAAATTAGATTTTCGACAATTTGACGTAAGAAGATAAAAATGATAATTGTTCGCGGACTGCTTCCACGAATAAATTAAATAAAAGAGTGTCGGAGATAAGTAAAAATTGATGCATAAGGTCTTCGAGAAAAGTAAGCTGAACAAACGCTGGAAACACGAAGCGGATTTATGATTTCGCAGATGCGAAATGCCCGGGGACAAAGGGCTTTAATGCGATTAATTATAAAGTAAGGGACGACTCAAAAGTAGACTAGTACTCGTAGTAGATGCAAGTCTAAAGCGCGTTCGCGTTGACGCCAGGTCTGATCGCGCTGCAGCACAGGGGCCAGGAGAGTGCGGGCATAGTGACGAGCGAGGGCGTCTGCGCCAAGTCCTTCCACGTGCACAAGGGTATGGGCATGATCAACAACATCTTCAATGACGACAGCATGCGGAAGCTCCGCGGCAACCTCGGGATCGGGCACACGCGTTACAGCACCAGCGCCGCCAGCGAGGAGGTCAACTGTCAGCCCTTCGTCGTACACACGGCTCACGGCGCCCTCGCCGTCGCCCACAACGGCGAGCTCGTCAACACCGAGTCCCTTCGAAAAATGGTGTGTTCTGCCGGCGAGGATGCCAGTTCAATAACCCTCAAACCCATCCGGCCGATGCTATGGCATATGACCCTTCGGCCAATGCCCAGCCCCTGCATCCCGTTCCACATCCTCGTCCACCCCTCCCGCGAGGCACCCAGCACGACATTCCACGACTAATACATTTGCCGGCAGGTATTGGGCCGCGGCGTCGGTCTTTCCACGCACTCGGACTCGGAGCTCATCACCCAGGCGCTCTGCCTCAATCCCCCCGAGGGCGAACTCAACGGCCCAGACTGGCCGGCTCGCATAAAGCACCTCATGCAGTTGGCGCCCCTGTCCTACTCACTCGTCATTATGCAGAGGGACCGCATCTACGGAGTCAGGGATCCGTACGGGAACCGACCGCTTTGCATCGGCAAAATCGTGCCAGTTGGCAACTTGGGTGAGCTTTGCATTTATCCGTTGATTGTTTATTGCTTTAGTTTTCTCGTAAGCGATTTCGATTTAATATACGATGGTCTGCAGCTTCGATCTCTTCCGTAGCCTCCCTCCTGACACTCCCCCCACCCCCCAAATCCCATCCCACCTCCTCCCACCGTCGTTTAAATTGTTTTATCGAGATATTGAGAATAATAATATCAAGCACGCATGTGTCACCAGCTGCAGCAATAAAAGGAACCTTTTATCCGGTCTGATGATTTTTCGTTCGTCGATTCGACTCCCTTTCATCATTTATAAACGTTAACGAGCACGCGTTTAAGAAAATCGAATTCCGACATTGAATGCTTTGTTAACTTTACCTTCGTCTTTATTTAGGTCATGATTCCGATGACGACAATGTCGAGGCCGAGGGCTGGGTTATTTCATCAGAGTCTTGTGGCTTTCTTAGCATCGGAGCCAGGTACGTTCGCGAAGTTTTTCCTGGAGAGATCGTGGAAATGACCAGAGAGGGTATAAAGACCATCGACATTATCGAGACGCCAGACAAGAAGTCGCAAGCCTTCTGCATTTTTGAATATGTCTACTTTGCGAGAAGCGATAGTATTTTCGAAGGTGAGTGAGTCCAACGGCTGGTCGTTTCGTTTTCATCATTTTCGCTTCTGATCCTTGGAATGTCGGTCTATCGGCGCATCTTTCTTCGCCTTATTTCAGGACAAATGGTCTACTCCGTCAGAATGCAATGCGGCCGCGTCCTTGCCCGGGAATCGCCCATCGAAGCTGACATTGTCAGTTCTGTTCCAGAATCCGGAACGGCCGCTGCACATGGTTATGCAAGAGAGGTAACATAATGTAAAATAGTCGTTTAAAGCATCTCTTCCCCCCCCCCTCTCACTCCCTCCCACCGACTCCTTCTCCTCCTCCTCACCGTCACGCTAGATTGTAATTGAAAGCAATCGATGTTAAATTGAATGGCATGTAATATCGGTTTAAATAAAAAGTGTCGCGAACTTCATGCGTTCGAACATCGAAGTTATGAATTTTTTATGGGAAATTTTTTTTTTTCGTTGCTTTCAGTCTAACATTCCTTTTGCTGAAGTATTATGTAAAAATAGATACGTTGGCAGAACATTCATTCAGCCCAGTACGAGGCTCAGGCAGCTTGGTGTCGCTAAGAAATTTGGCGCTCTATCGGAAAACGTTAAAGGGAAGAAAGTTATTCTCATCGATGATTCGATTGTTAGAGGAAATACCATAGGACCGATTATCAAGCTTTTAAAAGATGCGGGAGCGAAACAGGTAAATCGCCATTGGCAGCCAAAAGTCTAAGACTTTTAATCCACAAAAACCTTTAAGAGATCTTAATACTGTACTAATAACGTGGACCAATTTTGCTTACGTAAAATACAATGGCAAAGCTCCCATTGCGAAAAAAAAAAAAAAAAAAAAAAAAGATTTCATCATGATTGCTTATCTATGCTTATCTTGATACAAGATCAATAATGATACAAATAATGTTTATCAGGTCCACATAAGAATTGCCTCTCCACCATTGAAGTATCCATGCTACATGGGTATCAATATTCCCACACGGGAAGAGCTCATTGCTAATCGGCTTGACAATATCAAGCTGGCTAAGCATGTTGGAGCGGACAGTTTGACGTACCTCTCTGTAGAAGGTCTTGTCCAGGCGGTACGACACGGAATGGATAATCGTGAGAGCAGCTACGTTGGCCATTGTACAGCTTGCTTGACCGGTGAATACCCGGATGAACTCACAAGTGATTTGAGTTGGTGAATAACCGATCGTCGTCATTTAATGAATCATTCCTAGCCAACTCGTTCGTCTTCCGGCATGATAATGACTGCTCGTTAATCTGCGAGCAGAGAATCCAAACGAAAATGTCATGTTACCATGGAATATAGAGTCTCATTATGTTAACCCATTTTCAGCGTTGAATTGAAGAAATTTATCATTTTATTCATCGAAACGATGATTAACAATCTAAACGAACGAAATTTAAAATTAAAAAGTAATTCATTTTTATACCTACTTTAAGAGGAGAATTATTTGGGAGCATTATTGCAAAATTGTTATTGATAAATGTATTCGCTGCTTTGTTTATGTATGTCAATTTTTTTTTACATATACTTTGTCTATAAGTAAATGATCGATTGTTATCTATGGTTTGCGAAAAACGAGATAATATCCCATGAAGAATATTGTACAATAAATATATATCTATATAATATTTATACGCATATGGATTTTGAGTAAAAATGTCATGTATAGTTTGATATTTTTGTTAAAAGAAAAAGTCAAATTTTTGAGATAAAAACTGCTTTGTAATTTACCTTATCACATTTGAGTTGAACATTTCATTTAAAATGGCACGTGCATATGATAATTATCAACTATTTGGCGCTTTAGAAGGCTGACTAAGTGCTTTCAATTTTTCGCTTATTTCTCTCATCTTTGCCTCACGCTTTTCTTGCTTTTTTTTATTCTTATCCGAAATAAAGGAATCATTTAATTTCAGTTCGTTCGCTAATAATCTTTCGCTATTTTCTATCGCTATCTCGTCGATTTCCATTTCTTCTAATTTAGTACCTAAAGCATCTTCGACCTTATCAGCTTCATCTAATTTGTTAATATCAATCACTTCGTCATTCTTAATCGATTTTTCACTATCCTCCTGATAAAATTCATTCTTGTCATCTGAATTTTCTAACGACTGCTCGTTGGAAGTTTCATTTAATAATTTATGTGATATGGAAAACTTCTTCTTTCTCAAAATCTTCTTCTCCACTTTTCCTTTTATAATTTTCTCCTTGACTTTACCTATACTTTTCACTTTCTGTGCCATCGATTGGCTTTTTGGTACATCGTCTTCTATCCAAGGCATACTGCTTTTTGATGTCGACGGTCCTGGATCAATAACAGTCAGTTTTTTTGGTGAATTTTTCGCTTGTTCAGTGCCTAATTCAGTCATTTGTAATGTATTCTCCAATTTCTCTATTTGTGATTCATAGTCAATGTTTTGATCATCGGTTTTTGCTACTTTTGATTCATTTTCTATATATTTGTATATAGCAAATGGATTATCTTCATCTGATTCGGATTCAGGCTCAAAACCTCGTAGTCTTAATTCTTTTCTGAACTCTTGTTTTCTAAGATACTCATTTAATGCAGTTATCCTTTTATTTCGAGCATTTTCCCAAAATGCAAATGCTAAAAAAAAATAAAAAAAAAAATTAAAAATATCACTCATAATAGGTTATCAACATAATCTACACAATTAAATTCATAAATTAGCAATGAACAAAGCATACCATCTTCTTGATACTTTGGTGGCACTCCAGCTGCCTTTATCGTATTCTTATTAGGAATACTTTGACTGTGATTGGAATCTCCAAGTACTTCATATCTAGGCACCACAAAAGCCCGTTGCATTTTAAGAAGCTTTCTAGTCTTTTTAAAATATTTAAGTGTGGGAACCTTATCAAATACTGGGTCATCTATAACTGGATTAACATCTTTTTCAAAAAATAAATAAGTTCCAATAGCATCTTCGTAAGTTCCTTCAAAAAACTGTAATAGATAAGAAATATTTTATAATCAATGTAAAATTATAAGATTTACTGTTTAGAAAATTAAAATTCTTAATAAGCATAAGTTTACCTTGCCATTAACTTGCATAATTGGATGATCAGAATCTAATCCAAGCATGTCTAATTTTAAATTTTCAGTACTAAACATATCGTTTGTTCCACAATTGTCGAATTCTACATACACAAGAATTTCTTCCTCATCCTCTTCTAGTTCCGAATCAGAACTTGACATTTTTGCGTTTTACTATCTTTTTAGGACATGTAATTGCACTAAGCCAAGGGCTTATTTTCCCTTATAAAATTTTGAGGTTATATTGAAGCCTCATAAGATTGCAAAAACGCGCCAATGTTCGAAGTAGCCAATCAAAAACTTTTAACTGTCTTCTCCATTTTCTGTTTTCCCGTCAATATCAGCAGTTATGACACGTGTTATATAGTTTTTACTTGTTTTGTGTAAAAAATTAATATTCTAGCGTTAATTTTTGTATCAATAATTTTCTATAATATATTAAATCATTTATACTGTATAAAAAATCTATGTAATAAAGATAGGAATTAACGGTAAGAGGACGTATTTTAATATAACCTATAACAAGAAATGTTTCTAAAATAATATTTATATGCAAATACATTGTTGGTAATATTATGATTTTTGTAATTATAGATTAAATGTAAATATTAACAATGGTCCGACATAATAATCAATTGCCTGACAATCTTCCACAATTACAGAATCTAATCAAGCGAGACCCAGAATCTTACAAAGAAGAAGTAATTATTATTATTATTATTATTATTATTATTATTATTATTATTACTATTATCAATATTATTATTATTATCAATATTAATTATTTCACTTAACTTCAATAATATATCAATTAATTAACATATTTCAATAGTTTTTGCAGCAATATCATCATTATAAGTCGACTCTAGAAGTATTCGATCTTACTCCAGATAAATTCAACAAAAGTCTCGATGAATTGATTATATTCTTGGCGCAAGTAAGACTTTAAATATTTTATTTGTTGTTTAAATAATTTTTATTTATACTTTCACTGTCGCAGTTAAACATCCAAACTAAATGAATTTGTTTGAATTATAAAATATTTTGTTGTATAAGTTTTAAAAAACATACTTATTGAAAGCAATTGTGAATTTATATTTTATACAACTATCGATTTTTTTTTTAATTTCTCTTTCAGATTTGAAAATCAAGTTGGACCTTTCTGAATGCATGTTTAAATTTATTTTAATTTATTATACTCTTATTTTATTACTGAAAACAATTTTATATCTATAATCATGGAGGATTGTATAAAAAAATTGAGTGAGAAAATTAAGTGTAGGGATTCACTCTTAGGATTTTTATACTCATTACTAGTTGATGAACCAATGTTTCCAAATATTTTTATTTATGGTCATGTTTCTTGTGGGAAATCTTATATTATTAAAAACTTGCTTAATTATTTACAATGTAACATTTCCATAATAAATTGCCTTGAGCATGTAAATAATAAAAGTATGTTAGAAAAAATTATAATAGATCTTTCGTCAATTAAATTAAATTCAGATAATGGCTATAAGTTGTCAAAAAAGTGTGACAATTTTGTTGACTTTATATCAGAAATAAAATCAATTTACATGGAAAATTCAAAACCTATAGTGATTGTTTTTGAAAAATGTGAGAAGTTACGTCAATTGGAAGCAAATTTATTGCCAGCTCTACTTCGACTAAGAGAGTTGACCCAAGTGAATATATGCACCATTTTTACTAGTGATGTTATTTGGGAAAAGTATAGTCCAAAGCTAGGATTGTATGAACCGATTACAATTTTTTTCCCACAATATAACAAAAATGAAATAACAAGGATTTTATTAGATTTGAATAAACCAGAGGATTGTAGCGTTCAATTTTATAAAACATATTTAAATCTTTTTCTTTCTGTATACTTCAGATTCTGTCGAGATCTGAATGAACTTCGATATATGGCTAAGAAGAATTTTGTCAAATACATTGAACCTGTACAATCTAAAGCCATTGACGAAAGTGACGTCAGTGCTCTATGGCGTAATATTGTTAGTACTTTTAAAGCCAATTTAGAAGTTATATACTTGCGAGTGTCGACAGATGATTTTGATGAACAGCCCAAGTATTCATCTGAAATTGAATCTACAACAAAGTTAGCTTTGAGTTTTGAACTACCTTGTTATGCAAAGTATTTGCTTATTGCTGCATATTTAGCATCTTACAATCCGCCGAAGGAAGATAAGAAGCTTTTTGTAAAAGAGGGTGAGCGAAGAAAAAAAAAAGTTGGTAGGAAAAGAAAAACAAGAGTTATGACAACTCGTGAAGGACCACAGAGCTTTCCATTGAATAGGTTGCTTGCCATATTTTGCTCAATCATTGATGTGAGCGTCGATTTGAACGCTGTTTTATTAACCCAAGTACCGTCGATGTGTCGGTTGGGATTACTATCGATGATTGGTGACTACAATATAAATGAGCCAAAATACAAGTGCTGTGTTAGTTTTGAATTTATTATGGTTATCTCAAGGAACGTAGGTTTTGAATTAAAAAAATATTTGTGTGACTTTTTACATTGAGTATTTATTGTGAAAATTTCTAAATTATGTATAATTATCCTATTTAATTCATTTTGTGACTGTCTTTTTTTGTATAATTTTGACATTTAATAAATGATTTTCGAAGAACATTTATTTTTATTTACTATATTTCATTCGTGTCATAATAATGTTTCATATATTTTGAAAATTATATCTCCGCAAAAAGACTATTTATGTTTTACAATGACATTACTGTTCTTTTATAATATATTGCTTCTGTTGAAGCCATGTAATTAGTTGAATTAGTTTCGAAATCTTTTAAATATACAGCTAATGCAACGTTTGCATTAAACGTGGTTGACTATACTCTTTTTAGTAAATTCTATTAATAAATTTTGTTTATATTTTTGTAATTATTTTTAATTGTAGATGTTCATTAACGCCGAATATGGCAATCTGTCGAAAAGCTTAATATGTTTTAGATAAGTTATAAATACGTAAATGTTGCAAAAGTAAATTTGAAGAATTTGTAAGAATAATGAAAATTATATTCTTTATACGAAGTTGTTTATTTTAACGACATACGATAATACTATATAAATAGAAATTTAATTAGCAATATATTTATCAAATATTTTTTAACGATGGATAAAAAATATTTTCTACCTTACATCTACACTTAGGTACTATTTATTTCATTTTTATATTTCGAACTATTAATTATAATTATAAGTATGTACGTATGCACACGTACACGCACACGCGCACGCACACGCACACGCGCACGCACGCGCGCGCACAAAATCTCTGTGTGTTTATTATTCATTTTATTATTTTTTGTTATAATTAAAAGTCGTTAAAATATATTGTAATATTTTGTCTACAGGTTGCGCATTGCTATCCAAATGACTTGATGACTTTTCCTCAAGAGCTCATCGATATTCTTAAACGAAAAAATACTGTCTTGGATAATGAAATGCGAATGGTTAGTACATTAGAAAAATTATTTATATGAAAAAAAAAAAAAAGAAAAAAAAAAAAAAAATTTGTATTTCAGACGAAAAATTCAATTTTAATTTAAAAATTTTTAGAAATCAATAGAACATACCTTTTTCACGTAATTAGTAGTGATAATGTGAAACATAATGTTAAAACAAAAACGTCAATTGTTCAAAATCATAAAATCATAAAATCATTTCAATGTAATGAAATTTAACGACGCAAATGCAAATTTGTTCTTTATATGTTTTTACTTACAGACCTTTTGTCGAGCGTTAATTCTATTACGGAATAAGAACCTGCTCGAGCCGACAGACCTACTTAGCCTATTCTTTGAATTGCTCCGATCCCAAGACAAGGTCCTTCGGCAATTCTTGCAGACGCATATAATAACGGACATAAAGAACGTTAACGCAAAACACAAAAATTCTAAAATCAATACTGTGCTGCAAAACTTCATGTTCACAATGCTCAAGGACACGAACGCGAGAGCAGCTAAAATGTCCGTGGACATTATGATAGAATTGTACAATAAAAATGTATGGAATGATGCGAAAACAGTGAATGTCATTGCCACGGGTTGCTTTTCAAAATTTACCAAAGTCATGGTTGCGAGCTTGAAATTCTTTTTGGGAACAGATACGGAGGAGGACAGTGAAGACAGCGATAGCGACGACGAGCCCAATATCAAAGAAATAATTATGGCTAATAAAGTTAATAAGAAGACAAAAAAGCGCGAAAAGCAGTTGAAAAAGGCGAAACAAATTTTTACGGTATGTTTACGAATTTTGCTTACAAATTGCTTACAAATCATCTAAACGATCGTTTAAAATTAATGGTTAATTTTAGAAAGCGTAGAGTTGATTTTGAAAAACGTAAGGCCAAGTTATTATTATATTATATGTAAATTTAAAACTTATATATCATTTATATTTCTCATTTTCCTTCATTATTGATTTATTATTTCAAATATATTACATATATTCCATTTCAGCTATTTTATTTTTAATTCCAACACTTCTTTGTTTAGAAATCAAAAAAGAAAAAATCCAAGGCTCCGCAATTTAATTTTTCAGCCCTTCATTTGATTCACGATCCACAGGGCTTGGCTGAGAAGCTTTTCAAGCAATTAGAAAAAAATAACGATCGATTTGAAGTTAAAGTCATGACTCTCGACGTAATTTCAAGACTCGTAGGCTTACACGATTTATTTTTATTCAATTTCTATCCTTATTTGCAACGCTTCCTTCAACCTCACCAAAGAGGTAAAATATTTGACCGTATAAGAATTAAAATTCTTTATAAGACCATTTATTACAACTGCGATGCACTTTGTATTTCAGAAGTTACAAAATTGTTGCAATTTGTGGCACAAGCTTCGCACGAATTGATTCCACCGGACATAATACAACCGGTATTAAAGACTTTAGTTAATAATTTTGTAACCGAACGAAACTCGGCAGATGTTATGGCTATAGGGTAAATAATTTATAACTTTTATGCAAAAATGCCAAAATCCGTTGCCTATCTCATGTAAATGTAATTCGCGATAAACGCTAATATTTTATAGGCTAAATGCCGTTAGAGAAATTTGTTCACGATGTCCGCTTGCAATGAACGAAGATCTTTTACAAGACTTGACGCAATATAAAAACTATCGAGAAAGAAGCGTGATGATGGCAGCTAGATCTCTCATTGGTTTATTTCGGCAAACAATGCCTGATTTATTACATAAGAAGGATAAAGGTCGACCAACTGAAGCTACCGTTGCGTTGGAGCCGTTAAAATACGGTGATGTGTTGGTGAAAGAATTTGTGCCAGGAGCTGAGATTCTTCTCGATTCTAAAAACAATACTTTGGAAATCGATAGCGATAATAGCGACGTAAGTAAAATATTATTTATCTAAATATTTTGTAATTTTTTAAGTAAAAAGATGTGAACGCTCTTTATCTTTGATATTTGTTCTGTAATTCTTTAATATTAAGTATCTTGGAATGTTTTGTATTTTGTAATAGAGGCAATCTATTATAATTGGTATTTAATTATTATTTTATACTTATTTTTAGGATGATGACGAATGGATTAATGTTGAACACAGCAGCGAAGATGATGAGGAAGATGATGATAACGATAACTCGGATGCCGATACGGTTGATTGTCAAGATAACGATGAAAATAGTAGCCAAACGGATAGTGAAAATGAATTTCAAACAGAGAGTAAAAATGAAAATCAAACGGATAGTGAAAGTAAATGTACAGCTAATGATGAAAATACTGTGAACAAGGAGAATGAAAGTAAAAAAGAATCTGCAGAAAAAACTATGAAGAAACAGAGTAAAGATGATAGAAAATCGATAGAAAATAAACTTAGCACTATTAAAAAACCAACGGTTAAGCTCACTAAATTACAAAAGAAATTAAAGAATTCAAAATTGGAGAGAAAAAAGAGGAAACTGGAAGAGAAAATGAAATTACAGGAAAAGCTGAAAGCTCAAAAAAAAATAGAGTACACATTAGAGAAAAAAGCAAAAGCGTCACAAGTCTCGTCCGAGCGCTTACTTACAGATGAAGATTTTAAGAAAATCGACATGACTTTGGTAAAGCAACATATTACATATCCAAAACGGGGAGTAAAAAGGCCCTTTAACGATGAGAAGAATAAAGATGAATTAATTAAATTGTCCGACATTGAAAATATTTATAAGAAACGTAAGCATGATAAGCAAGCTAGAGTAGAAAGTGTTAAGGTATAATATCTTTCACATATACATACTACTGTTTGAATTACTTACAATTATGAAAATATAGATTAATAATTTTTAATTGCATTTCTTTTACAGAAAGGACAAGAGGGTAGAGAAAAATTTGGTTATAAAGACGGTCGTCAAAATCCTTTATGTAGTAAAACGAATCGTGAGAGAAATAAGAAGAAAAACTTCCAAATGATAAAGCATAAAGTTAAACGAAAAATCAAGAGGTCATTTAAAGAGAAACAAATAGCTTTAAGGAATTATTTAATTAAGCAAAAGCGAATGAAGTAATATTTTTTATTGATTAATGTTTCTCTTAGTGTAATAATTTATTGTTACATAAATTTTAATGACACGGTCTTATAAATATAGTTCAAAACTTTTATCAAATAGCCAATAAAGTAAACATTTCATTTATATTTGTATTATGCAAGTTTTATGTACCCAGTGCATATGACACGAATATACATAAACAAATTTATATAAGATGATAAAGTTTGATCGTAAGTTTTTATATATCGTTATGATATTTAATCAAATACATGAGCAAATATGGGAATTTCGCAAGTAGTTGTTGTTGTGTTAATGTGTTCGGTTAATTTGATTAAATGCAAGTACACTTTGCATTCACGATTACGAATATGGTGAATACATTATGTGCAATAAATAAATCATATGAAATACGAGTGCGCCGAATCAATCATATTAATTTGATTTTTTAACAAAAAATTTGCCCTTTATGTTTTTGTAGAATGTGATTTTTTAGATGTAATATTTAAATAATATTTTTTGTCTAATAATTGCCTTTAAAAATTAAAAAGTACTTTATCTCGATAATTCGCTCGAATATTGTTATACAAACATCAATTGAATAAATATTAAATTTTTAAGTTCATTCCCAATATTTTAAAACTCTTTAATATTAATCTCAATAATTTTTAAACTTTCGTTCATTAAGTTTTTTTGCAAAAGCAATGGGTAATCGTAATCGACGAAATATCGAAAAATAATGAACAATGTAATTGAAAAGTGAAATTTTTCCTTCGTGTAATGCAATAAACGTGTCTTGTTCGGGTAAATTTTACACTCGACGAGTAAGTTTAAATTTTATTTTATAATATAAATAAGCTTAAAATAAAGTTAAAATAAAATTTGTAGTAGCACGGCTGGAAAGAGAATATGTGGCGACGTATTAATAATAGTTTTTCATCATAATTTCCATCTCTAAGCATCGGACAGTCATCGTATTCTCAATCCCAATCATCAAGTTGTTAAATAATAATTAAAAAAAAATATATATATATATATATATAACAAGCGAGTAAATTGAAATACCGAGCCGTTGCATTAAAATTAAAAGTGATAAAAGTATTTTGCGTGGTGTTAAGTGCGCGCGCGACGTGTAATTGCGTTTGCCGGTTTGCGTCTCGCCAACTTTACCGTATACGTGGATAATCAGCTTAGAAATTGCTCGTCACGAGCTCGCGGTCGTGCATGCGGCATCCCTTAATCGCGACTTATCCTCAATCTTAAAAATATGGAAATTTGTAAAATGTTGCGTGGGTCACCCATCAATCGTGTGCGTGCATACAGTACATAATCGTCAACTCCCCTCATCTCACTCGGCTGACTATATTTACCGGCCATCTCCACTACGTACCACGCTACCACCACCATCACCGCCACCGAAGCCGCCGCCGCCGCCGACGTTACCGCCGTCGCTACTACCGCCGTTGCCGCCGCCGTTGCCGCCGCCGGTACTGACACGAGTGAGGCCGGAGGCATTCGGACCGAGTTTGGCTTGTGGGGATTTGAGCTGGCGGCGGAGCGTCAAAGCCGGTAGTTTCGGGGCCGGCACTTGGGCGCATCGAGTACTCGGCGGAGCCTAATTGATATAGGAGTCGACGAGCGATTATAAGGGCGGTGAAGTGGGTTGCCTGACATACGGCCTTTAGCTGGACAAGGCTTAAGCCGACTGACTATGAGCGACGAGAGCCCGTAGTGCATCGGGCTCGCGACCACGTGTCTCTTTCTGACGGCTGACGTTGCACCCAAGAATGCTGATAAACGAGGACCCGCAATGGACGGCGACCGTCGCCGGCATCGCCGAGGACGCATTCCACATGTTCCCGGAGCTCGAGAGCCTCGGTACGTACCTGTCGCTTGTCCAGCATCCGCTCCTCGTAGCCCCGTAAAACGGTATATTAGCCATCGAAGCAGAACCGTGGGGAAGGGGGGGGGTGGGCTCTCGGCTTATCAAAACTCAGGTGGGCTGGAGAACTTAAAGCTTACCGTCCCATAGCAATCGCCACTTTAATACGCAAATCGAATTGGCTTTACTGTCCCTTCATTAATTGCTTCGAATAATTCATCCACGTATGGGCAACTATCGCGCTCAATGTCGAACAATGCACAGGTAATTAATTGGGTATCTATTTATCTTTTCGATGTGCTTTATATGTCGATTTCACTTTTCGATCCAATTGATATTGTAGGCCGTAGAGTTTCGACGGGCCTTGTTATCGAGGCACCATCGACTTCCGAAATTAATTTTAATCGATTAATCACGCCGATCGGTAGATCTTGTTTTTAAAGTACTTAATTGTACTAGAGAGCTCTCTTTGAGTAAAACTTTAGGGGCAGTATGTGTAAAAGGTAACGCGCACATTTGCTTATA